TCTTTTTTTTTTTTTATAATTTTAACACATACTGTTAAATAAGCATAAAATGAACTCAAGCCTGAATATATTTATGTTTATCAGGCAGTCAGTAACACAGAGTTATAAATTCACATATTTATCATCACAAATAATAAATATGGAAAATAATTTCACAAATTTTTAATAATTTTAAGAATGAGATTATAAATCTTAGAAAAAAGAATTAATGAAACTGATCCTAGACATTGATGTCCAGAATTGTTTATAATTAATGTGAGAGGCATTTTAAATGTGCATAAATATATAATAGATTATTACAGTAGCAACATTATAGGAATGTACTTTTATAGAAGATTATTTAAATATTGTCTTAAAATTCTTGGTAACATGTTTGGAGTTTCTTTTTTTTTTTTTTTGGGTCCGGTTGTGGGGCCTGAACTCTGGGCCTGGGTGCTGTCCCTCAGCTCTTCAGCTCGAGGCTAGTGCTCTACCACTTGAGCCACAGCACCACTTCCGGCTTTTTTTCTTTTTGCTTATGTGGTGCTATGGAATCGAACCCAGGGCCTCGAGCATGCAAGGCAAGAACTCTACCACTGAGACACCTTCCCAGCCCATTGGAGTTTCTTTTCTGCTTCCCTAACAGACTTCATATATTTCAAAATCATCTCTTGACTTTCTTGGATTTGCAGTTGATGTTTCGAATGCCGGTCATAGTTAGTAATCAAAAGATGTATATCTGGGGCTGAGAAGGTGGCTCAATGGTAGAGCGCTTGCCTTGATTCCATGAGGCCCTGGGTTCGATTCCACAGCACTACATAGCAGAAAAAAAGCCGGAAGCGGTGCTGTGGCTCAAGTGGTTGAGCGCTAGCCTTGAGCTGAAGAACTGAGGATCAGCACCCAGGCCCAGAGTTCAGGCCCCACGACTGGACCGCCCCCCCAAAAAATGATGTATATCTTAGTTTCTGAGGCTCTATATTGACCTGCAAAATATAACAACTGAAAGAAATGATTAGTATATCAAGGGAGAAAGTTTGTTGTTTTATTTTATGTGAAGAAAACAATTATCAGAAAAAAAAGACAAGAGGGGCTC